CGGGGACCGGGGGCTGATTCTGCTGGTTGAGCTGTGGTGCTGAGCCCCAAATCTGGGTCCCAGGACAAGGAGTGAAATCCAAAGGAGCGCATCTACTGTCACCTGCTTGGCGGGGACAGAGTGGGGAGCTCGTAATTGGTCAATATGATGATGTAAGTGGGGTTTGTAGCAGGTTTGTGTTCAGCCAGTCCTTAAATACGTGTTCATAGGGGCGAGGGGTGAAATGTGTTGGGTGCAAATTGCAGGGTGTGTGGGATCACCCCTGAGCACCGCGGCGTTTCATGCATGAGGGGCCCATCAGCTCATGCATGAGCCCCCGGTCATTTCCACATCAGCACCCAGTAAGTTCATGCATGAGCACCCGATCAGTACACACATGAGTGCATAATTAACTTAACATAGAGCACGGGGTGGTTTATGCATGAGCGCCCAGTTAGCTCACGCTGGATTACACACTGGTCCACGCATGAGCTCCCTGTTACATGCTGCATGGGTGCCCAGTTGATGCGTGTGCTCTCCATCAGTTCGTGCCCCAGTGTCCAATTAATTTCTGCATGAGCACCTGATCCATTCGCACCTGAGTGCCCCATTAGCACATGCACAAGTGTGTCACCTACTAATTACACTAATTCACCCACGAGTGCCCAATTAGTTCAAGCAGGAGTGTGCAGTGAATTCACACCTGAGAGCTCTATTAGCCTGTTGCCACTGGAGTCAAGAGTGCCCATAAAATGGATGCATGAGCACCCCTTTCATTCACACCTGAGCACCCAGGTAGTTCATGCATGAGCACCCAATTAGTTCACCTAGAAGCATCCAGGTATTTATGCTCAATTAGTCCGTGCATGATCACCCGATTTATTTCTGCATGAGTGCCCATCTGGCTCAGGCATGGGTGCTCAGTTAGTGCATGCGTAAGTGCTCCATTAATTCATGCCTGAGCACCCACTTTGCTCACGTGGGAGCACCCACTCTGCACATGCAGAGGTGCCAATTTGCCTTCATCTGAGCATCTGCAGCAGGTTTAGGCAGCCCCAGACCTGGATGAGAGCCCCAGGATGGGGCAATGCTGGCTCCCCTAGAGCAGGATGCGCAGGGACCTGAGAGGACCCCTATAAATGCTGCAGGACCAACAGTGCCGTGCCTTGGTGGGTGATGCTGGACCTGTTGCCAGTGGGTTGGTGGTGGAGGCCAGGCCTGGCAGAGCTGCAGTGCCCTGCAGGGGAGGCAGAGCTGCTTTGTGCTGGAAATTATTAACTGTGGTTCCCCTGATAAGGCAGCGGTGGCACCATGGGATCAAGGTGCTGTTGTAGTGGCTGGAGCACAGGGGGACATGCAGGGGCTTGGTGCAGGCTGGTGCTGGCTGCTACACTGGGGCAGTGCTTGCTGAGCCTGTGCGAACCCAAAGGGCTGGAGCATCATGTCACCTCCTGCATCCCACCACGGCCAGGGGTCTCAAACCATTCCGAATCCATTCACTTCTCCTGTACTCCTTACTGCTGTGGTCCAGCGAGCACCCAGCTCTCCTGCGGGCAGGGCGATGGACGGGGATTCCAGTCCCGGGTCCCTCCTCTCCTGCTGCCTGGCGAACACGAATTAACAGGCTTTGAGCACTGATTAACCAGAGCTGCTTGCTGCAGTGGCAGCTGGGTGGTGGGAAGAGAGGGGAGCACGCAGAGGGCGGGTGGTGATGGAGCTGTCAGTCCTCGCTGCGCCGTTCAGGGTTGATGGAAGGGTGGGGGTAGAGACCTGGGGGGGGGGTTTGGGTGCCGGTAGCTGTGAGGAGGGGGCTGGAGGCTGTTTGTAGTGCAGCCGCATCCGGGGCCTCTGCCCCTCTGTGCTGCGTGAGATGTGTGACTGAATCCCTGCTCCCGGATGAGGTGGGAGCGGGGATGGAAGGCCAAGGGGCAGCTCCTGTGCTGCCCTGGGGTCCCTGTCCGTGCCGGCGGTGCGAGCCCTGCACTCAGCCCTTCCCTGCGCTGGGCTAAGAGCAGCAGAAACAAAGGTGCTGCTGGCACGAGCTGTGTGCGGGGCTGGGCGTGCAGGAGGGTGCCTGCGCCGCGTACCCGGGGCTCCCGGCTCGGTGATGCCCCTTACAGCGTTGTGGCTCAGAATGAGCGCTGATACCCTGCCTTTATTCAGTGCCTTTCATCCCTAAGGATCCCGGGGCACGCTGCATCCTCTAACAAGCTGCTACGTGAACTATTTATAGGCATTCCCATAGCGGCCGCGGGAATGCTGATCCCTGTGGAGCGCGGTTCAGCCGGAGCACGGCGACGGAGCTGGCCCTGCTCCGGTGGGATGCTGCAGTGGGGATGCTGTGGGTCATCCCCGTGTCCTTGAGGAGTCAAACCTGGCGGAGGTTTCTATCGCCGCAAATTGATTTGCATGGGCTCGGCATCGCGCTGTAATCAATGCCAGGGGAGGGAAATGCAGCAGCCGCCACTGCACAGGTACCTTCTATGGGCATGGTTGGGCTCTGTGTGACAGGGAGCTGCAGAGGATGGACTGGGGAGGGTGGAGAGACAGCCCTCGCCCTGCATGTGTCCCCTGTCCCCAGCCCCAGCATGGGCGGTTTGGCCTGGCCAGGAGATTGGGGTCCCCAAGGCTTCCATGGCCACGGGTCCCTGCTGCAGGTGTGGATGTGAGCATCCCTAACCGGTGCCACTGGGATTGTTGACACCCAGCAGGATCAGAGCGGCTGGAAGTGGCAGCACGGTCGTCCTCTGCCTCGGATCCATAACAGAGATGCAGGTACCTGCTCAGCCCCAGCTTTGCCGTGGTGTTTCCTTGCAGAGGGAACACTCTGCCCTGGGAAGACGAAAAACTTGGTGGCAGCAAAGGGATGCATCCAGAGGTGGTGGTTTTCCAAGGGAGATAAGGCTGCATTCCCATCCCAGGGCAAACCCCTCAGCTTCCCAGTGCAGGAGGTGCCAGTGCACTGGAAGAGGGATGCACAGGAACAAATCCAGCCTCGGGAGCCCTGTGCTGACACCTGAACGTGCAGGTGTCACCACACATCCCTCTGCAGGAAAAGGGGAGCCTGCCCCATCCCTCCCCTCCCACCCCATTCCAAGTGTGTCATCAGCAGCATTTCTCCTGTACCAAAAAAAGCACAAATTCCTTAATTGTTTCCTGCTGGAGTTGAAAGGCAGCTCCAGGGCCTGAAATAGCCCAGTGGGAAACACAGCGAATGAGGGAGAGCACAAGGTGATTTGCCTGGAGGGGCTGAGCCCAGCGCTGTCCATAGCCCTGGGCTGCCCCTTTCTCCTGCCCCGAGGGCTGCCTGGAGCCCTGCTGCTCACCCTCCTCCTCCTCCCATCCACCTCAGTCAGTGTCTGCAGGCGACTGGGGCTGCAGAGCTGGTGCCTGGGGCATCCCCCGAGCATCCTTGGGTGGAGGGCTTGGCTGGTGTCCCGATGCTTGTGGGGAAGCCTGTTCCTGTTAGAGACATCGCTCAGCATCTTTCCCTTGGAAGGATGTTTCTGCACAGCCCTTTCTATCGGGAAGGGGAATCCTTCAGGACTGGCACGATTGCTGGTTTTGCCTGCCCCAGCTCAGCTGCTGGATGCAGCACATCCTTCCCAGCTTCCTCCTGCCAAGAGACCTCTGTCTTTTTCCCTTGTCTGCTCTTCCCCTGCCAGGCAGCCCTGCCAAGACAACCCTCCAAATCCCTTCTGCAGCACGGCCAAAGCCCTCAGTGTCCTTCAGCCCAGGTTCTGAGCATCCCTGCGCCTGCCTCCCTTCTCTGGAGGTGCTGTGGTCCACACACCCCATGGCAGTGTGGTGGGTGCTGCTACCCTCCCGGCACAGCCCTGCAGCCCTTTGCCAGCTCCCTGGGGAAGGGGGGGGGGAGATGCTTCCCCGTGCTGAGCCCTTCTTGAGGGGGTTTGCAGGCTCTGTCCCTCCAATGGAGCCTGAGCTGAGATGGAGGGACCCCTTGTATATAGAGGGACAGCAATTCCTGCCCATGGGGATGTGGGGCCCAGCACTGGTCTGTATGCGAGGTGGGGGCCAGCGTGTGTCCTGCAGCCCTTCTGCAGTGTGCACCTTTCGCCAGGCACGTTATAAATCTTTATGAGGGAGAATTGCTTTCTTCTCTTTGCCATGCAAGGTAATTGGCATCTGTTGATGTGTCTTGGGTCTCTGTTTTTATCAGCAGTTTGCACACTGAGACATCTCCTCTCTGCCTCATTATCCCAGCGCGGTCCAGACCTATTGCTCTTGTGTTATTATTTAGATGCAAGATGCAAAGGAAATGACTAATGGGGCTGTTCCCCCTGCCCCTGCCTTCTGGCACTAGGCTCTGTGCTGGCCGAGCACTGCTCTTGCAGTGGGACACGTGGGGACAGGTACCAGTGCCCTGCCCCATTGGGATCCCCAGCATCCTGCATCCCTTCAGAGCCCTTCCTCTGCTGAGGACGTTGGTGATCTCAGCATCTGTGCCCAGGCTGGGGACACTCGGGGTTGCCAACGCTCACCATGTTCTAGCTCTTCACATTTTGGGGGTTTCTTCAGAGCCCAGAAGAGCTTCCTTAGGGCCCTGGGATGGGTTTGGTGATGTTTCTCCGCGTGGTTTACATGCAGGTGGTGCTTGGGGGGACGCTGGCTCTGGGGCTGTGCCTGTGCCATGCTCAGTGTCTTGATGTCGGGGCCTGGCTGGTGCTTGGGCAGATGTTTCCAGACATGTTTTGGTCTGGCCCCTGCGTGATCCACAGCACCTCGCAATGATGGTGCTGCACTCCTGGGGCAGGGAGCAGCACATCTTTGTGCTGTGATGTGGGGGCTGGAGGGACCCCATCATCCACCCGGGGTTAAGCCAGGCTGTGCCTTGATGGCAGCGCTTACATGCAGGGAACACACGGCAGCGCATGGAATGAGTGAGTCCTGGCGCATCCCTGCCAGGGAATCCACTTATGGGAGGTGCAGAAGCGCAGCTGTCACTGGGCAAGCACTAAATTCCTTTCTTTTTTTCTCTTTTCTCCTGTTTTCTCTTGCAGTTACGGAGAAGGAGGTGCAGCAGTGGTGAGTGTCTGGCATGGTGGTGAGTGCTGGGGAGGAGGGATAGGAGCAGGCAGCGCTCAGCTCAGAGAGTCAGACAGCAGAAACAGAGGGGTTTTCCTTGCACACCTTATGGTGTGGCTTGGCTCTGGCTGCTCTTGGCTGCCCATATGGGACGTCGCACGCTCCCTCTTGCCTCTTCCTCCCCATAGGGGTGGCCAAGGCAAGCAGGGACGTAGGGACAGCCCAGCTGGTGGCCGTGGCCCTGGCTGGGGGATGCTGCTGCTGTCCCACCGTGTCACCGTCTGCAGCAGGGCTGGGGCTGGCGGCAGGCTCTCACCAACCCATCCCCTCCACCCCACCGCGCGCGATGCCCTAGAAAAGCCACCGCTTCCCTTTCATCTCCCCACCAGTCAAGGGTTGCTTTCTTTATCTCCTTCTCTCATCCTTCCCCCCCTCCTCGGTGAGTCATAGCTGCAGCAGCGTGAAAAAGATGTCACCGGCGCTTCGGTTTCCCACCTCGCCACCCCCTTCCCCTCCTCCTCCAGCCCTAGGCCTGCTGCAATGGGCGCCTGACAGATCTAAGAGACACGTTGCATAATGTTCACACACCCTCCGTGGTCCCTGGTGGTCCCTGCATGTCCCTGATGGTCCCTGCTTGGTCTCCTCATCCATGGAGCTGGCAAACCTCTTCCCCTGCACCCTCCCGTACGGCACTTTGCAGCATCCAGACCCAGACCGAAGCAGGGATCCAGGGCTTTGGGGGTGTTTAAGTGGTGATAGTGTTTGGGAGATGCCCTGGGCTGGACCACCCTGAGGACACGGTCATCCTGCTGTGCCCATAGCTCCTCGGAGCGGCTTTCACGTGGGGTCCTCCAAATAACGCTGTCATAGTCCTGGGGCTTCAGGCCACTGTGCTGTTGGTACACGGCTGCAGCTCGTGCTGAGTGGGGAGGCTGCAAACTGCCTGTGGGGTTGCTGCTGATCCCAAGTCCCTTTCCTGGCCATCTCCGTGCTGGAAAGCCAGGTGGATGACTTGGTGTAGCCATGGAGCAGCAGCAGAGGGGAAGACAAGCTCTGGCCCTAGGACGCAGCGTTCCATTTGCAGCTTCTTGCTCAGGAGCTGTGTGTATCCAGAGTTCTGAGAGAGGGATGTAAGCACTGCTGCTGACCCTGTGATGCTTCAGTGCTGGAGCAGGTGACTCTGTGCAGGGGCTTTTTGTCTTGCAGGAGGTTTAAAAGACCTCGTGGTGCCCATCCGCTGCCTTTCCTCCACAGGTACAAGGGCTTCATCAAGGACTGCCCCAGCGGGCAGCTGGATGCCGCGGGCTTCCAGAAGATCTATAAGCAGTTCTTCCCCTTCGGCGACCCAACCAAATTCGCCACCTTCGTTTTCAATGTCTTTGATGAGAACAAAGTAAGGCTGGGAGAGGTGGGGGGCACGGTGTGAGGGGGGTCAGGGGAGTGATGCTGGGATGGGTTCGGAGTGCGGCTGCACGGTACCGGGGGAGGACAATATTCCATCGTTCCTCCCTCCCCACGGCCTTTTGGGATGTGCCCCACAGGCATGAGCAGGGAGGGCTTTGCCGGGCAGGGGTGGCAGCGATGCCCTCACCCATCCTTCCCTCCCCCAGGATGGGAGGATCGAGTTTTCCGAGTTCATCCAGGCGCTGTCGGTCACCTCCCGGGGGACGCTGGACGAGAAGCTGAGGTGTAAGTGCTCCCCATGGACACCGGTGGGCTCAGCCCCATGAGGGGGGTGGCATGGGGACAGCTATGGGGGGGGAGGATGCAGTCCCCAGCACCTCGGTATCACTCTGCCTCGCAGGGGCGTTTAAGCTGTACGACTTGGACAACGACGGGTACATCACGAGGAACGAGATGCTGGACATTGTGGATGCCATTTATCAGATGGTGGTAAGTGGCAGAGGGTGATGGGGGCTGTAGGGAGGATGCTGAAACATCCCTGGTTCCTTCCCTGCGATTTTTTGGTGGGAGTTTATGGCCACGGTGGCCAGAGCAGGGCTTGGATCCAGCCACTGAGGATGGCTCTGGTGCCAGAGACGACTCCTTGTGCGCTGTTCTGACGTGGGGGATTTGGGGGAAGAAAACACATCTGCTTGCTTGGAGACACCATCCAGGCTGGGAACAGATGGGTGCGTGACCAGGTCCCATCTTGCTGCCACAGGGAAACACAGTGGAGCTTCCTGAGGAGGAGAACACACCGGAGAAGAGGGTGGATCGGATTTTTGCCATGATGGACAAGGTGAGGATACTTGAGTGTTTTTTCCCCTGCAGCCAAGGGATTTAGGGATCAGTTGTGCCCAATCTCAGCTCTTGCACGTGCCTTCCTTTGGCAATACAAGGTCTCAGCTGTCGCTGCAGACTGGATACAGGATCCCTGTATCTGGGATATCCAGGTCCCCAGTGTGGCATTGCTCCTCCCTGGCTGCAGGCACTGATGGCTTGACAGGGAAACTGAGGCTGCAGTGGTGGGGGGGGACCTGTGTGGGTCCTTGATGTGGTGCCAGGGCCCTGGGGTGCTCAGACCCGGGATGCTCGGTCCCGGCATCCCCCTCACCAGGGCAAGGTGATGCTGAGCAGGGGTGTTTTGCAGAACGCGGACGGGAAGCTGACCCTGCAGGAGTTTCAGGAGGGCTCCAAGGCTGACCCCTCCATCGTGCAGGCGCTTTCCCTCTACGATGGGCTCGTATAGTCCCGGGGCCAAGCGGCGGTGAGTGCAGTGCTGGGGAACCCGGGGGTGCCCCATCTCCCACCTGCTTTGATGCCATTCCCATCTTTCCCAGGGGTGGGTGGCTGGTTCTCCTTATCCCCCCCAAATCTAGCTGGATGGAGATGTTCCTACCCCATATTGATGTGTTTCTCCCAGTCCTCCTGTCCCATAGAGCACTCCTGGACCGCAGCAAATGAGGATGCGGTAGAGTCACCCAGCTGGCAGGCATTTGCCTGCGGCACAGCTCGGTTCTTCCCTGTAGATGTGGCTGCAGAGGAGGCAGCTGGTGCGCTGAGGGCATGGGGATGCTCCGGAGAGAGATTATATTAAATGTTTTATTTATATTGTGTCTCATTATATTGCACCCTGGAGCTGGCAGGGTTTGGCATGGCCGTGTCAGGGATGCGGTGCTTCACTGAGCACACTGTGATCCTCACCATCCCTCATGGAGCCACGCAGATGGGGTGGTTTTGGTCATCACAGCCCAGGCAGTGTCCAACCATGGGTGGCGACGGGGGTTTTTTAACCCCACTGGAGTTCTGAGCCATTCAAAACCATTACTGTGCTTCCAGCCTTGCCCTTCCAGCTGCGCTGGTGCCCGCGGTGCTTTCTGCCCTTATTCTCACCCTGTTTTTCTCCTCCCCACCCTCTCCCGCAGATGCCTGGGGGAAGATGCTCTCCGTGCCATCCGACCACCGCCGCGCCAAGCTTGCCTGCCCCTCTCGGCCTTCCTCTCTGTTCCGCGAGCAGAGGATGCCCTCGAAGCGCGAGCTCTCTCCCTTCTCCGCACTCCGAACCAGCCGCTGCCATTCGCCAACTTCTGCTTTTCCCAGTGCAAAACCCACCTCGGAGCCCGGGCTGAGCGGCAGCGAGCACCCGAGACTGCAGCGCAGGGGGGCAGCGGGTCGAGCATCGCTGCAGGCAGAGCAACCCCCCCTTACCCCGGCCTCCTCGCCCCCTTTGCTCCCCTTTTCCTATGTTTTCGGATGGGACTGTGGATGCGCCGGTGTTGTCCTCTCCCGGGAATCAGCTGGCTGGAGACGGAGCCCAAAGGTACCGGGGGACCCGCACCCCGGGGTGCTGCCTGCGCAGGGCAGGGGAGCCGAGGCACTGACGGCCATTGGGAACACGCAGCGCTGGTGTCGCCAGCCCGGCCCGGCTCTCTAGGGATATATATTATTATATTAATTTTTTTTTGTGAGACAGTATTGTGCTTTTTTCTCTTCTTTTTTTTTTTTTTCTTTTTTCTCTTTCCTTTGGTGGAAAAAAAAAGTGAGGTTTGGTTGTTTTTTTTTTTACATGCCTATCTCCGCAATGGATATCCTTATTTATTTGTTGTAAATGTTGCTGCCGTGTTTAGTCTCTCGCGTGTGTGTCCGACCACCCAGGTGATGATGATACAGGTTTACATGCTCGTACACTATTGCGGGGCACCGGGAGCCTGCAATAACAATGAAGCCAAAAAAATCTGCCTTCCCCCTTTCTCTTCCCACCCCCTGTATCCCGAGCTCCGTGGGCTGGCTGCTGTTTTAAGGGGGTGCTGTAGCTTCGTTTCCTCTTCCTGTTCCCCCCTTTCCCTGTGTTTTTCTGTTCACCCTTCCCTTGGCAATCTCAGCCCAGGCTCTGAGCAGACAGAGCCAGCTCCATCCCTCAGCTGGGCAGGGTGAGGGAACTGCCGGGCACCAGAACTTCCTCATTTCCTTTCCTTTTCCCCATTTTCTCTCTGCATGATGAAGTATTAATGGAACCGAGAGCTGGGTTTTGCTTTCAGGGGGATTCCTTTCCTCTTTTCTGTTGTGCTGATGGTGGGAAGGTCTGTTGGCACCCCAAGGGGGTGCCTGTGAATTGTCCCATATGTGACAGGGCTGAGGGGATGCCCATGGGAATGGCTTGCTCCATCTTCCCCATCCCAGCCGGGGTGATGCAGTAACTCCTGCCCTATGGCTGCCAGGCCAAGAGATGCTTGAGGTGTCTCCTTATCCCCTTGCTCCCTGTTTAGGACATGGGAAGTTTTGCTGTAATCCAAGGGCACAGCTCCAAAGCAGAGCCGTTTGCATCCATGGTGGGAAAAAGCTAGGGAAAAGTGACTGGAGACACCCAAGTGTGGGGCTTGGAAATGGTCCCCTATTCACAAGGGATAATGTGTGGCTTCTCCATCACCTGCCAGCACTCTGGATGTGCTCCAGCAGGGCTCAGCTCCAGGACACAGTTGGCATCTCCACTGGAGGACAAGATGCTGCCGCAGCTCTGTTTCCATCTGCCTTGGTCCCTGCAATGGGGAAGGAGAGATTTGCATCTCATCAGGAGCAAAGTGCAAGATGCCTGTTGGACCCCTAAAGCCACCTGCGATGGCTCTGGTGTGGTTTGTTCCTGGCCCTGTGATCCCAATGCCATGCTCCTACCACCCTAGGGGCTCACCCCTCTGTCCCTGCTCTGGTTGATGCTGGCAGTATCTTTCCACCCGCTGTCTGCTGGGATGTCTGCAGCCCCCATGGCTGGGATTTGTCCCCGTAGTGGTGGGAAGTGACATCTGGATGTGGAGGATGTTCTCCGATGATGTAGGGGATAAGGAAATACTCCAGCCAAGTGATGCTGGTCCTTTGCCATGCAGCCCTAATCCCCAGTTTCGGGGCCCATGTGCTGGTGGCGTTTTCTGATGCCCATAAAAAACACCCTTCCCCATTCCCCAAGGAGAGAGACCTCACGTCCATGTGCAATATTTCTGCCTCTTCTGCAGCTCCTGCCCCTGAGGGTGCCCATGTTTCCCTCCTGGAGGGTGTCACCTCGCTCCCTCCCATGGAAACCCCTTATCCTTGATGCTTTGTGGCCAAAACGCAACTCTCTTGGGTAGATCTTTGCAGTGCCTCCAACTTCTCTAACGCTTGTCTGCCAGACCGGTCCCTTTCTGGTGCCAATCAATGTTCCCATTGAACGTGACACTGCTGCAATCTCCTCTGCTGATAAATGATGGACCCTGTGGTGTTTGACACAATTCCCAGGCAAAGGCAAACCTCATTTGCTCTGATGCTTTGCTCTGAAAGGCTTTTAATTTTCAGAGGACCTGCTGTGCTTTGAGCTCCATCAGTGCTCGACAACGTCTGACCAGGAAGCAGCCCCATCACAGGGGGGATGAAGGACCAACATCAGCCTGGGAGAGCTTCAGACCCCCGAAATACTGACATTCAGTGCCCATCAGGATGGTGCTGACATTCCTACCAGCAACCTCCTGCTGCTGCTGCTGCTGCTGGGCTCAGGGATGGAGCCCAAGGCCTCGGCCTCCCCTGCCCCTAGTTAAATATTTGCACATTATCCAAGAAAAAAGAGCAAAAAGGGAAGAAGTTTTTGGCTGTATTCAAAGCTCTGTGCTGGCTGTGAGGACCCTGTTGGGTTGGTGGCAATGATGAGTGTTGCTGGGCAGGATTGGGGCTGGCTCTTGTCCTGGGTCTTGGCTCTGGCCCTGCAATGGGTCTGTCCTGCCCTGCTCTTGGCATGCTCGGTGTCCCCATTCACATCACTTTGCCCTCAGTATTCCCCCCTGGCTGTGGATCTGGGGCTCTGGTTGGATGCTTCTGGCCTCCCTTTGGGGAGCATTGGTGGCCCTGACTCCTGAACATCACCAGGACCTGCAGCTTCTCTGTACCACCGTCAAGGCTGGAAGCATCTCTCGCTTGGCAATGTTGGCCTTAACCTTCTCGTGCCTCAGTTTCCCCATCGGTGAACTGGCCTGAGGGGTGAGCCATCCCCTCTGCAAAGCGATTCAATGCCTGTGCCCAGGGAGGCACCAGCACTGGATATGGCTCATGAGCTCACGAGGGTTTGGCAGGAGCCACCAAACATCAGGCACACCGGGAGCAGTGCACGAACCACTGCATCGGAGCTCCCGTCAGTGAATAGTTACGTTTGCTCTTCTTCCACCCGCTCATGGTTAAAGCCAACAGCCAGAAAGACCTGGGTCGGTTCTGTTCATAGCCAGCTTCCTGATCCCTGGATGAAAGCAGCTGCACCCTGGTGATGGGCAGGGGACAGCGCAGGGTCCAGCCCCGGCAGCTGCAGTGTCCCCCCCACCTCTCATTTGTCCCGTCGGTGTTGCCCCATTAAACTGCAGTGTCTGCACTTCCCTTTCTTTTCACTCTTCTGTTCGTGCGCTGCCTGTTGCTGCTTTGTAACCGCCTTCCCTTGAGCTCTGGGGCTGGGCTGAGCTGTTCTCTCCCTGCACAAGGCTCCGGGGGCAGATTCCAGTCCCCATCATGGCGCAAACGAGGACCCAGGAGAGATGCAAAGCGGGTTTTTCCTCCACAGCAGCCCTTTAATTGCTGTGATTTGTAACGAGACCGGGTGGCCCCTGGAGTGCTCCCCATGGGGCTTATTGAGGTAGGGGAAGTTTGCTTATGGGGTCCCCAGACCCTCTTTGTGCTGGGTACCAGCTGCATCCCACAGATGCGGGTGCCTGCCTCCCATGCCACCAGGACATGCATCCCAGTTGGATGTTGGGGAGGATGAGGCTGTGGAATCGCCATCCCAGAGCCACTGTTCCACTGGCATGGGGAGGGATGGAAGTAATACCACTGGCTGTGGTGGGGCTGTGCTAACCTGGAGGGTGGAATGGTTTTGGATCTGGGGCTTTGAAGCAGGGCCATATGTGGCATGGGGGCAGCCAGAATCATTGGCATGGCTGCCCTCTTCCCATGTATTTCGGGTTGGGGGGGTTGGATGGGATGGAGGGGTGACCCACAGCCAGCTCGCTGTCCCATTGTCCCCATCCTGGGCTACACAGGGAGACCTGGGGCATTTGGGGAGGGTATCACACACCTTCACAGTGGCATTAGAGGGGATAGGTTCACCTGGGGTGGTGATGGTGGCAAAGGGTTAGGTGCCCTGGTCCTGGTGCACAGTTTGGGGGTCCCCTTGCAGAGCAGTTCTGGGTCTTGGTTCCATGTGCCAGCCCCAGCAGCACTGCAGGGAAGCCGTTTGCCCCTCCTCTCTCTGCTCCTGCAGCCACCAGCCCCGGGTTGGGTGCTGTGTCCTCTGGGACCCCTGCTTGGAGCCCCGGGCTGAGAAACAGCAGCTTCAGCAAAAGAGCCTTTTTTGTAAAGATGAAGCCTGTTTGTGCGTCCGTGCCGGTGTCTCGGCTTGCATGCCCTGCTGCCTTGTCTTGAGATGAATTCAAGAGCAAACCAAGCAAACGAAACGGTTTAATAACGACAAAGAAAACAAAACAGAACCCAGGAACTTTGTGACAGTGGAAATAAAAGCTTAATGACTGTAACGAAGCACCCGTGGTCTGTGATGCGCGGCTCGTGGTCAGGCTTAGCCCAGCCTGGTTTGGGTTGACGGCACCTTAAAGCTCATCCAGCTCCAACCCCTGCCACGAGCAGGGACCCCTTCCACTAGAGCAGCTTGCTCCAAGCCCCTGTGTCCAACCTGGCCTTGAACACTGCCAGGGATGGGGCAGCCACAGCTTCTCTGGGCACCCCGTGCCAACGCACCGGGCTGGGAGCCATCGGGTCGCTTTGGGCATGCATTGGCTGCTGAGGAAGCTGGATATTAATATCCCATAATAGTGCCCCAATGGAGGTGCCCCTTGGCAATCCCCCGGGGCTGTCGGGGTGAGCAGGGGCTCCCATCGGGCTTTTCACGTGCGGTGGGATCGCGTTTGCCGCTCTGCCCTGCCAAGTCCAGAGCCCAGGGCCTCTCTGCCCGCCCCTCTTCGTTTGTCTGCTCTCCTAACGAGGCTGGCTCATTAATTCCAGGCCAGAGCTGGTGTCCTGATGGCCTGAACAAGGAGGCTGTGTTTGCAGGGGGGGGGGCTTGTTCGGGGGTGCCCTGTGCCAGCACATGATGGGGGCACGCAGGGGTTTATCCCCTTGTGCCGTGGAGCGGGTGAGGAGGAGCGCAGGCTCCAAATCACAGCGGTGACCCAAGGCTGTGCCTTGCTTTGCTGTGCCCACCAGCACAAAAGGGGTTAAAGCCCAGGTAGTACAGGTGCTCCTGGCACTGGGAGCACTGGTGAGTGTGGGGAGGGATTAATTTGGTAGTGGGGAGGAACTGCTGGGTTTCTTTGTGCCAGCAGCACTGGAGAGTGGTGCTTGCTGCTGGGGCGCAGGATGGAGCTGGGTGCGAGGTTAGTGGGTTTGGGGGCACTGTGGGGTGGGGGAGCCCCCCTGGGCTTGCAGTGAGTGTGGGGCTGGGGGTGCCAAGCCTGGGGGGGACAAGAGGCTGCAGGTGGGTGGCTGCCGGCAAGCCTGATGGGGGACAGGAGGAGGACAAGACTCCAGCACAGCTCATGGCTCAACCCCATGGAGCAGAGGTGCCATCCCCTGCCCTGCTACACGCGGGGTCCTTACCCCCCCTAAGACTGTGCTGGGCTAAACCCTGCCTTGTAGGGACTTGTGGGGCAAAAGGATGCACAGGAGGATCCCATTGTGCTGTGTGTGGGGTGTGGGATGGGTGGTCCCTACTCTCCCCCAGCCCTGTGTGTGCTGCCAGTGAGGCGCTGGGGCTGGAGGAGGTGCTCAGCCCCCTGGGCTGGATTTGGTCCTCAGTGCACAGCTTCATCTGGAGCCAGCCCTTGGCCGTGGCCATTCCCTGGATCCCGTTGGGAGGGAGTTGAGCAAGAGCAGAGCATCCCTCGGGAGCAGCCATGAGCTCAGCACTCCGCTTTGAGGGGAGCCAGGAAAAGCTCCTGTGCTCTGTCCAAGCGCTGCCTTTCCCAGCCAAGGGCTGCTTTTCCCACCCCTTGTCCTGGCTCCGGCTTTGTCTGTGCTTTACGTGGCTGTTTGCTCCCTGTTCCGAGGGCAGCTGTGCTGGGGAGCACCCCCCGAGCCCCTTAATCCCCACCAGCCCCATCGCAGACCCCTATTCCAGGGAGGCCCCTTTGCCTAGCAGAGGCAGGGTGATTCCTCACTCCCTTTCCCAGCTGGCTCTCCCGCTGCCTGCGTTTGGCAGGGTGTCCCTGCAGGTGCTCAGCTCCGAGCCCCCATGTCCTCCCCTAACCCCCCAGTAGAGCAGGGGCTCTGTGAGCTGGGGTGGGGGGGGCTCTGAGATGGGCAGTGTTTCTGACGATCCTGTGGGCTGCAGGACCCGCTTCCCAATCCCTACATCCCCATCCCAGCTCCCTCCAGCTCCCACCCACCTCCCTGCCGCGTCGCTGGCTCCAAAAGTCCTGTTTTCCCTCCCTCCATCCCTGCTTCCCTCCCAGAAGCTGAACGCTGGAGGAGCTGGTCGGTGGCTGGGTGTCCCCTGCCCGGGGTCCCACTGTGTGTGGCCCCTTGCACCCTGTATCCCTCCCTAGCTCAGGGACGGTGACTAAGGGGTCTGGGAGAAGGAGAGGGCAAGGACAAAGGGGTGTCCCCAGCCATGCCGCCCCATGGAGGGGTGTTTGTGGGTCTCTGGCTGCTGCTGGCCCCCAGTCTCGCCGAGCACCCCCCCAGCTCTGGCTGGGCCACCTTAGCCTTCGTGTTCGATGTCACCGGCTCCATGTACGACGACCTGGTGCAGGTGATGGACGGGGCTTCGCGCATCCTGGAGCGGACGCTCCGCAGGAGCACGAAGCCCATCAGCAACTACGTGTTGGTCCCGTTCCATGACCCAGGTACGGCTGGGGCACAGGGAGGGCACGTGTCTTGCTTGGGGATGGGGCTGTGGGGAGCTGGGGTGTGGTGCTGGTGGAGTTTGGGGCTGGAACACGCACTTCACAAGTGCCTGCGTGTCCCTTCTCTCTGTTTTAATGCCCTGATGGGGATGGCACTGCAGGATGAGCTGCAGCTCGAGGGTATGGTGCTGAGCAGGGCTCCCATCCCAAGCCACCCTGCAGGCACAGGGCAAGTTGGACCTCTCTGCATTAATCCAGGTGATGCTGGCTCTCACATGTGGGTGGCTCTTCTACTTCCAGCCTGTTCTGATCTCCCCAGACTAATCATGGGGGGAATTTCTGTGCAAGTCTATAACGTGCTGCTGCCAGAGGTTTTGGTAACTTACTGCAATCCCAGAATCATTCCTGTCTGTCCCAGTCTTTGCCTTGGGATTTTTGTGCACACCCGTAAATAGCAGTTGCTCTCCAATACATCTCAGATTCCCTACAAAGAGAGCAGGACAGAGGGTTTGTCCTCAGCAAAACACTGAGTTTGAATGAAAGTCGCTGGAGCTGGACAGGGAAGGAGGCAGAGGCAGTAAATGGGTTTCAGCATCGCTTTGGTGGGAGCCTGCCCCAGCAGGGAAGGGTTTGCAGCTCACCCTGGCTGGCTCCACTGGTGTGTTGAGGAGAGCTTTCCATGGGAGCAGCGTTCCCACATCCACGTCTCGCTGGGAGCCAAACCAGGGTAGATGCTCAACCCCGAGTTCCTGCAGGTCCCACCAGGATGTTCAAGCCCGGGTGGGTGCTTGGGAGCATGGCACCAAAGGTGGGAAGGCTGAAGCAGTGTTGTCCATGTGCTTGCAGAGGTGGGACCCGTCACCCTCACCACCGACCCCCGGCTCTTCCAGCGGCGCCTGCGGGAGCTCCATGTCCAGGTAGGGGTCCTCAGCCCCACGGTGCTGAGCTTGGTGCATGGCCCTTGGCACTCAATGGGAAGCCTGGCCCTGCATTCCTGCATGGTGGCGGGCCTCAAAACCAGTCCTTGGTGTCCCCTGGGAGTGTGGAGGGGCTCGGGGCTGACCACACCAGGGTGGGAGTAGAGAGGATGGTGATGCTGGCGCTGTGCCCCAGGGTCCTGCGATGGGGCAGAGCGCTCCCAGTTCACAGCTCAGCCACATAATGGGAATGCTTTCCCCAGGAGAGTTTGCACAGGCTCTCCATGGAACCAAAAATGCCTTGTTCTGGAAATGCTCTTTGAAAATTGAGTTGTTTTTCATATATTTGTTAACGATTTCAAAACACTCTCTGGGAATTCAATCATGCTTTATCCATCCCTGCCCTGCCTCCCATGCATTGTTAAATATCTGTGGTGTTTCCCTTTGGATGCAGCTGTGTTTTGGCAGGAGGTGTGAAGCTGTGGCTGCAAATTGTTTCCCAGCCCTTTGGAGTGCAAAGCCCTGTGGAAACAGGAGCTGGTCCTCTCCGTGCCTCTGTGCTTGCCTGGGGGGTGATGGGCAGGGGTGGGCATGAATGTGCTCACTATGTGAGTCTGTGGG